GGAAGCAGAACTGAGCTCCACAACCCAAGGCATGGCCCAACACCAGAGAATACTAAATCGCAAAATTGACGTTTTTATAAAATAATTCTTCAAAAAAGCACAAACTTCAATGACGAATATCTTTATGAAGGAGCAAGCTAGAAAAACTTTCCGGTAGATTTTCAGAATGCTTGAACAATTATCTAAGGTAAAAATTTCCTCAGATTTTGAATAAAATTACTCCTTAATGGTTTAAAATTAATTTTAAAAGTTATTACTTTGTCAAAAATCAAGTTTTTAAAACGGTTAACTTGATGACGTCATCAAGGGGTGTTGATGACGTCAAATAATTTTTTTATACAGTGTAAACTAAAGTGTAAACAATTATTTGCAAGACCTGTGGTCGGAAATGGCTGTATCTTTTATACTTTTGAATTTATGGACACTTAAATACAGGCTACAATTGACTGGCAAAGCGTCTATCCCTGAATATATATGTATGTATATATCACGACAATCTGTCGTAAAACAGGGGTTCCAGAAAACCCACTTCCCGATACTCCTGAAACTTGAAACTTTTTTTGTAGTCGATTTGGTCAACGTCTAGATGCCCTGCAAAGTTTCAGATCTTCAACTCAATTTTAACATGGTTTTTAAGGCACCTGAATATGGCGATTTTGGGTTTTTTACCGAATTTCGTATAACAGTGCTGGCGAGTATTTTATGCAAATTTCTTAAAAATCTCAACATAACTATTTTTTATTCCTGTCATCTTTGACATCAAATTAGAATGTTTTGAACTAAAAATAAATCTGCTGAACGACTTCCGATGAGTCGTAATGCCTGAAAAACTCCTGCCGGAAAGAGGCTTGTAGCGTGTACCAAAGGGGGTATAATAGTAAAGGGGGTATAATAGTAAAGGGGGTATAATAGTAAAGGGGTACATAGTATACCCACAATAAATGCAACGGTCGTGCTTGCCAGCACTGTGATCTGTATATGTCCCGACAATCTGTCGTAAAACAGGGGTTCTAGAAAACCCATTTCCCGATGCTCCTGAAACTTGAAACTTTTTTTGCAGTCGATTTGGTCAACGTCTAGACGCCCTGCAAATTTTCAGATCTCTAACACAATTTTAACATGGTTTTTAAGGCACCTGAATATGGCGATTTTGGGTTTTTTACCGAATTTCGTATAACATGCTGGCGCGTATTTTGCGCAAATTTCTTAAAAACCTTTACATAACTATTTTTTATTCCTGTCATATTTAACATTAAATTAGAATGTTTTGAACATAAATATACCTGCTGAACTACTTTCGATGAGTCTTAATGCCTGAAAAACAATAAAGGGGTGTAATAGTAAAGGGGGTATAAAAGTCAAGGGGGTAAATAGTAAAGGGGGTAAATAGTAAAGGGGTTAAATAGTATTGTGAATATAAGAGGCACGGTCATGCTTGCCATTGTGATATATATTCAGGGATAGACACTTTGCCAGTGAATTATAGCCTGTATTTAAGTGTCCGTAGATTCTAAAGTATAAAAGATACAGCCATTTCGGACCACAGGTCTTGAAGATAATTGTTTAGACTTTAGTTAACATTATGTTAAAAAGTTATTCAACGTCATCATCACCACTTGATGACGTCATCAAGTTAACCATTTTTAAAACTTGATTTTTCACAAAGTAATCATTTTTCAAATCGATTTTACGCCATTAAGGAGTAATTTTATTCAAAATTTGAGGGCATATTGAAGTTAGATAATTGTTTAAGCATTCTGAAAATCTACCGGAAAGTTTTTCTAGCTTGCTCCTTCATTAAGATATTCGCTATTGAAGTTAGTGCTTTTTTAAAGAATAATTTTATAAAAACGCTAATTTTACGTTCTAGTATTCTCTGGTGTTGCACCATCCCTTGGGTTGTGGAGCTCAATTTTGCTTCCTAAAGCTCTAAATTGTGTCATAGGCTAGTTTTAAAGTTGAAAATCGAAAAGTTGCACACGTGGGGACACGCCCAAATTGATTAAAAATTGCTAAAATCACTGAAAATTGCTGTTTTCACCAATTTCCGTCAACTTTGGAGTGCCGTTGTGATTACAGTTCTTCTTGAAATACTTTGAAACTTTGCATGCTTATCAAACTATATATAAAACACCATCATGCAAAAATTTACGGTGATTCAATATTGGATGCGCACGCAACTTCCGCTCAAGGTTTGCACGTGCGAAAGGTTAAAATTTTGCTCATTCGTGATTTTGAACAAATTCTGCTTTGCCACGACAGTTCAATGTCATTATATATGAATTTAATGCCAACTTCAATGAGTATAAAGTGGCATATTCAGTCAGTGATCGACCGATATGCTTACCTAAACACAAGGAAATGTTTTCAAAGGAAAAATTTCGAAATCGTTTAAATAACCTCCTTATTAATATTAATGAAGTTATGAGTTTACATTTCGGCTTTGTAAAGTACCCTGACATTATAATAAAAAAGAGATGATATTTTACCAAAACCCATAATTATGGGTAGAGTGGAGCGCTGCCAGTGTCTCTCTTTCCCAAACAAAAGGCAATGATATCAATTTGAATGACCGTTATCAAATGCAAAATGATACCGAGAATGAAATCGGTCGCTCGCTTTTCCCATTCATTTACAATTGAAATAGATTACATGTTATAAATCGAAACTTATTACAATTCGTAAGCCATGAATGAGTGGGAAAAGCGAGCGACCGATTTCATTCTCGGTATCATTTTGCATTTGATAACGGTCATTCAAATTGATATCATTGCCTTTTGTTTGGGAAAGAGAGACACTGGCAGCGCTCCACTCTACCCATGATTATGGGTTTTGGTAAAATTTGTAATACTAATAGTAGTTAACTGAGCCCTTATGCGGAAGTGATGTTAATGATCGCTGAAGTTTACAAATAAATTTAACCTACCTTCCCACCAGTAGTACTACTACTAGTGGAGTATATAAAAATAAGAGATTTGCAAGAATTAGAAGAACGCAATTGCCATAATATATCTCGACCAAGGTCGACTAATAGTATTAGTAATACCAAATACGCTGCTCGCACGTCACAATGTATCGCGCACCGGTGTCCCGTGTGCACGCCAATTCATTCTCCCAGCCTGTAGTTGGACAATTGGTCCATTGTGGTTTTAAAATATGCGGAACAGTCGAAATCATTTCACTTCGTTGTAAATCCTTAAAAGGTCAAATTCATGAAACAAAATCAACAGTCACAATTTTCGCTCCTACTAAATCGCTCGCCCAAATTTTAAGAAAATTCTTGTGTAAAGGCCCTTTAGGCATGAAAGTGATCTAGATCGGTGTAATTTTGGACGCTGATTCCGAATCACCCCCCCCCCCCCCCATAACGTAGGGTTAAAATGCTTCCCTGGAGAGTTATGGGCAAAAAACCGTTTTGGTCACGTGACAGGCTAGTAAAACGTGAATTCGATTATTTAGGGCTCGGGTTAGGGTTAGGGTTGTGGTTAAGATTATGGATAGCTTCGGGGTTATGATTAGGGTTAGGGTTGGGATTAGGGTTTATGTAAAACCGTTTTGTACGGCTGCAAAACCAAAAAAACCAAAGTCATGACGTGAAATTTTTTTGGCGAGCGATTTAGTAAGAGCCCACAATTTTATGGAGCAATCAGAAATCACTATATCAAGTAAGGAACCGAATATTTAAGCACCTTTATCCTGTATTCTATGCCAGAAAAGGTAGCAAAGTATCCCCAAGTCAAAGCTTATCTCCATCGAACTCGTTAGAAGACACTGCTTGAGATTTATTTTCTGTTCATGACAGGAAAAAAACATTTCACCAATTTTACCATAATTTTCGACTTCTTCTTCAATTTAAATATAAAATCAATCAAAGCTAAAGCTAAAATAACGAAAACTGATCCAGCTATAAGAATTGCCACTGTTCTTTGTTCAAACACTTTGCTACTCATCAGGATACCTTTTGTTTTAAACCAGTTTCCAGCTGTGTTTCGGTTATTCATTACAGGACCGTCGACGAGTCCAACTCGGCGCGCGTCCTGGTAGGTTGTAAACCTACACAACTTATCCTTGTGTTTCAGGTATTACCTAGTGATCGCTATGACTATATTACTTCATGCACAGTGGTATATGTGGAAGTTGGTATTGTCCTGTTAATATTTGCCAAGTTTTGTGGACAGTTGGCCATGACACATGATTTCAAGTAATATTTTGAAAAAGTTTGGGAAATTTGCAGCGCGATTATCCGGCAAAAATCCGGCAATTCTGGTCTCAAGTATAACTTCTGTGCTACGAAATAGCGCGCGCCGGGCCAGAACATTAACAATGGTCAACACCTAGCCATCAGCCATGAGTCTACGCGTACGTACTAGTACTACTACTGCTAGCTATGCGTGACTTGTAGCGCGATGCACTACTGGCCTACTGGGTCGCGCCGCGCACCAAATAATTCTTCTCGCAACCACCGGTAGATCGGCGAGATGCACCACTGTGCCTCACCGAGCTGCGAAGGATTGACATCGTGAATCAATGCGTGACGTACTGCTAGTGCTATGCGTGACGCGCCTTCGGCGCGGCGGTTGCGCGCTACTGCATACTGCAAGCGAGAGGGCTCTGGATAGAGCAAATATTTGACATACGTTGCAAACCCTTTTCTCTCCGGCCGGGCGCCCTTTATCTTTAAGTTCACAATATTTAGATTTAAGAGCTCACCGAAGGGGGGTCTGCTATACTTTTTTTACACTATTTATCATTTTTAATTAAAATTAAATTTTAACACACTTACAAATTAGCCGGCCGCACTCCATCCGGCGGGCGGACGGAGTGCACGAGAGAGGTATACAACGTGTAGCAATTATTTTCCAATCAGTCTTCACATAGTACATTTCCAAAGCTACCTTTCCCCCAGCTCACCTGTTTGTCTCCAAATTTTGTCTCTTGAAGTTTTGAGTGGACAGGGCATGTTAATAGTTTAGCTAGATTCAAGGGATTCTCGTTGGTTTGATGACAATTAAAATATTAAGCATATTAATCATATTAAGCTCGTTCGCAAATTTACATTTACTCTCAGGACACATTTTGTCATTTAATCAATTGTGCAATTTAAATTGATTAAATGTAATTGATTGATTTGAAAGATTTAAATAAAATAATTCGGTAGAAGATGTTTTGAACAAAAAAAGCCAGCGTTCTCACCATTTGAAATATATTTTGTGTATTAATACAAAGCATCTGTTCATACTACGCTCTGCACCAGCGAGGTATTTAGAGATTAAATTAAAACATAATAAACTGATTCTACTATGATCAAAGGAAACATCAATCAAATGACCCTTCAAATCTAAATCAATCATTTGATCGTTTTCGGCACAAAACAAATCAAAGAAACACATCAATATATTATACGTTTTAAATAAAAGGGCTATAAAATTTAAAAATGAAAACAATTTAAAAGCAACCAAAGAGCTTGATAATTTATCATGTACACGAACTAAAATGAAGTGAAGTTAAGCTAGGGTTTCTAGGGTTCTACAATTGGATTGCTCGCTTTGACTGATGTTCTATTACGGTGTCCTGATCCTGATTAAACGAAATATCAGAGTCGGATTCCAGTTCCTCCTCATCATTACCTGCTGGTAAAGTTCTCCTTGGAATTTTCTCAATACATTTTGGAGTCCGAGAGGTGAGGGTAACGGTGGCAGATTCCAGATTAGAGGAAGGACTGGTTTCTGTTGCTTTGATAACCGCTGCCTCGGATTCACAATCTGCACTGTTTTCTTGCACGGTGTCAGCCTGAACGAGCTCACAGGGCAGATGTGTGTTTTGAGGCAGATTGTCTGAATCAGTATGCAACGAGTTTGAACCCACATTTGTACTGGAAATATCAGTTTCTTTCGAAGCAAAATCACTCGCCGTCACTGTGTTTTCGGCTTGTGGAGGTGTACCTTCTTGTGGCAGTGTAGCTTCTTGAGGCGGCGTTATCTCACGTGGCGGAGTTATCTCTCGTGGCGGAGTTATCTCACGTGGCGGAGTTATCTCTCGTGGCGGAGTTATCTCACGTGGCGGAGTTATCTCACGTGGCGGAGTTATCTCACGTGACGGCGTTATCTCACGTGACGGCGTGATGACACGCGGTGGCGTTTCATCCCGGGGTGGTGTAGCGTCACTAGCAATCTGGAGATTATCTGAAACTAGATCGACTGAATTACCCTCGGAAGGCGTTCTATTACGATCTAAACGGTCTTCAGCTTGCGGAGAAGCTCCTCTTAATCCACGTTCCGAACCTTTCTCAGAGTTTCCACTTTGTTCAATGGGACTTTCTATTTCATCAGAAGTTTTATCGGACGAAGTCTGAGCGCTAAATTGACTGAGAGTTAACGGGTCTGAGTCCAGGGGTAGTGGAGACTCGCAGTCAGACTGGATGACTAGACCTGGTGATTCGCAGGGAGAGGACAAACTCTCCACTGGACCCGGCGACCTTGGTGAAGCCTCAGCCTCCACGTCTTTGGTTTTCTTCTTGACGGCAGCTTTTCTTCTTCCTCGCCTGCCTCTTTCTGAAAAGTTGTTATCTTAGTAACCAATGATATCTACATTGTACAATGAGGAGGTCAGTTACCATTCGACGCCCCACCCCTCGAAAATTCTTAAGCGCCCCTATAAAAAAGTTCCTATGCACCAAAAAAATTCAGGTCTTTTCGATGATTTCCAATTCTCACGAAGGAGGGGAAAGGTTCCAAATAATCAAAACGTTGCTTACATGAGAACGCGTCGTTATCCTCATCCATTAACCGATGTGAGAAGAATTATTACTATGAGTTATAGCACACTGAGTACCAGTAAGACAAATTGCACCTTTAAAAACATTTAACTTACTTTTAGGTTTATCGATATGCTCGTCGAAAACGTATTCACACTCTGACAGCTTCGGAAGAGGACAATTTCGAGCTATCAACTTCTTTTCCAGTTCCTGTGGAATGTGATTATTTATATTTTTGCCGACTTTTGTTTACATTCTCAATTGCGAATATAACCTGAGAAACCATACGAAAACTGTCGAAAATTCGCCAGCTTTGCGCGCGAAAATTTTAAATCATGTCATAGCGCCGATACTCTGAATTTGTATCCGGATAAACGCTCTGCGCGTTCCATTTCGCAGGCTCTGGTGCATTAAAAAAAGCGCCAATTCCTCTGAACCCCAATCAGGCTTAATCGAATTTCAGAGATGACTTTCACCTACCTCTATAGATGCTTTTGGGGGAGCTTCCTTTTTAGGCATTAATTTGTTCTCTTTCATCCAGTAAAGATCATGTGGCAATGTAAACATTGTCTGCTTCCGCAAATAGTTGATTCCTAAAATATACAAAATTAGATTTTAACGAAAATATCGGAATTTTGAAATGAATAAAATTTCTTCAATGTTGGATCTTTGTGATGACAAAAGAATGCAAACAGCTGATTGGAGCATCTTACCGCAATAAATAGGGAGAATGTTCGATCTAAAATCCAGTTCATCATGCACCAATTTCCTAGAATCTTGTTTCAATGTATTGCTAAATATCCCACAATTCCAGAACTCTTTATTTTCAACAACAGAACCAATGTTTTTTCTCTTTTTCATCTTAGGACCTTTAGTTATTGGCGTATCACTTGATGAAGCTGAAGGTGCTCGGGACTTTTTAATGGGGACGATATCTGGAGCTGGCGGCTGCTCCACAACTTTATTGGATAAACAGGATTTCCGGAATTTGAGAGGTGGGACGGCCGGTTTAGTGACTTCCTCGATTACTTCCTTTGGAGTGAGAGCGGCTGCGTGGTGTTTGGGTGAACTCTCCCTCTTCCGCTTCCTACACACCCCAACTGCTGCTGCCGGAAACATTATCTTGGTGGTGAGGGGTGCTGGTTTACAGTTAACAACACGTTTTGAGGGGGAGGTTGGAGCTAGTTTTAGTTTGGGAGGTTCTGGAAAGGCAGGTGTTTGTGTAGGAGGTGTGACTAAAGGAGCATGCTCGGGAGAAGAACATTCTGGAGCGTTTTCAGATTTTCCAGAAAACTCCACACTCTCGTCGATAAACGTGGTAACGTTGTCGATGTAGTTGACCAGTTGTTCGGTACGAGGTGATATCCAACCTTTGGCATTTCTCATGGGCTGAGCTACTCGTAACGTTAGTTTTATTGGTGGCTTTTCCTCCAGTTCTTCAACATCAGACAGTTTGAACTTGAGGACTGTTGAGTTCTCATCCTGGGGGGCTGGCTCGTACTTAGGAGATGATGGTTGAGGGGACATGACAGGGGGAGAGGGTTTGTGAAGGGTCAGTAGAGGAGGGGGTGGTAGAAGAGGACTGGATCCTACATTACCTAACTTTATTGTCAGTTTCATAGGGGAGTCAGTAGATGGTTTAGTCTCCTCGCAGGACGATACCTCCTCACTTCCTGACCTTTGCTTACCAAACCTTATCTTTAGTTTAGGTATTGGTTCTGATGTCATGGTATCATCATCCATTGACTCCTGTTCCGACTGCTTACGTTTCTTCTTTTTCTTCTTCTTCACCTTGCTCTTGACCATGGCCACGAGATCGTTGATCTTGGAGCCCAGTTCGTCGCTAGAAGTGCCAGAAGAGCTGAAGCCGAAGTCGCTGAAAGTGTCGCTATCAGGGGGAGGCTCGGCAACTGGTGCACGGGTTGGTTCCTTGGAGGAAGTCTGGTCGGCGGTGGAGGATTCCCCCTGGGTTGGTGTCGGGACAGGAGCTGATTTTGGTGGATGTTTGTTGACCACCACCTAAAGAGGTTAAAGGTTAGAATCTGATAACTGACTAAATAGACAAATATCATATCATTCTTCCGACAAATATTCGAATAACTAGAATTTAGAATACTTTATTGATTGTAATATAATACATTTATTGTTATACATTTGAAAGGCGTTAGTGCCGCTCCGGGTAAGGGCAAACGACAGGATTATGAAGGTGTATTTAAGGTTCAAACATTCCATACATACCTTTGAAACAGCGTCTAAGATCTCCAGACCGAAGTTCTCATCTACAGTACCGTTCACCTCTCTCTGAAGAAAAATATTCCCAAATTACAACTCAGAAATTATTGTTTAACATTAATCAGTTACAATTTTGATCTTGGATGAACATGAGCAAAATTAAATATGCTGTGTAGTTAGTAGTTACAATAATTATCAGATATTACCTTCTTGACTCTGTAGAGGTATTTGAGAGCATTCCCGAGAGCTCTTCCTTGCTTATTGTGTGGTTCCCTGTACTTGTAATACTCTGACAAGATCCCTAGTAGACCTAGAAATGGCTGGCCTGGCACCTGAAATTAATTACAGCTTACTTAATGGATATAGTATTGAAATCATAGTTATAAATCTTAGTTATAAAACTTACGTCTTATCTAAGACAACTTATGTCTTATCTAAGACCCAACCCTCCGTTTGCTGAAAACCTGCTACCTCTTGAGTGGGAGTACGCAGACGACGCAGACTTCACAGACGAGGATAAAAAGAATTTGGAGTCCATGTTACCAATATGCAAGGAGATATTGGAGGAGTGGAATCTTTTTGTCAACGAATCAAAAACAGAGTTCACACATATCTATCTGGCCGAGAAGAACGAAGTTGATGACAAAGGAGAGCCACTTCGAGGAAGAGAGCCCTGGAGATCATCTATCTCACTTGGTTCCAAATTGTGCAGCAACGAGGACATAAAAAGACGATGTATTCTGGCAAATCTTGCTTTCCAAACCTACAAGAAAGTTTGGGAACAAGGTAAACGCATACCTCTTAAGACCAGACTTAAGATCTACGAAGCCCAGGTGGTCTCCGTCTTGATGTATAATTGTAGCTGCTGGGCAGCTTCAAAGCAGCTACTGAGTAAACTGGATATTTGCCACAGAAAGCATCTGAGGCAAATCATCAGAATGACTTACCCTAATATAATCAAAAACGACACCCTTAACAAGAGATGTGAAGTGGTTCCACTCAGTGAGCGTGTTGCATGTGCACGATGGAGGATGCTCGGACATGTCCTTCGCAGTGATAACAACTCACCTGCACAGCTTGCATTACACTTTGCAGTAGAGAGTCAGAGTACTAAAAAGGGTAGAGTAGGTAGACACCAGTCGAACTTGCTTAAGACTATTAAATTTGATTTAGGTAGCAGGAACATTCCATTTGTAAATACAGACGATTTGTACAATTTAAGACTTTTAGCCTCTGATAGAGCGGGATGGAAGAAGTTGTTATAGCTTGTGTATCAGTTTTTCTTTTTTTCTGGCTACTTATCAGATCTTTAAGATGTTCATTTATGTTCTATTTTTGATTTGAATAAAGTTATATAATATAAAACTTACGGATTATGGTAAAAAGCATTCAAAGTGCATGAGTCAGCTGAATTTCACAATTTTACAACTGTAAATTAAATAAGATATCCACCAAAATAATATTGTAGAGTATTCTTTTAAGATAACATGTTATTGGGTTTCGTTATATATTAGTTCGTTATATTGAGAAAGTAGAAATCCAGCTGAGGATGGAGGATTATACTATAATGGTTGTATACAGGCTGTTAAGTGTTAGTGTTATAGTATTAAATAAGCAATTATATGTGTAGAATTTACTAAAAATGGTATTGCACCCTGAAATATTGTGGAAGCAGTATTGCACCTGAATTATGTATAGGGTTGTTAGATGTTGAACTATGATGTTCTATATATAACTATATTCCTTACTTTCTTCTATGTAAAATTACTCATATGTAGCAATTTACAGATTCGAGTTATTAATTTGTGTCAGGAATCAGATACGATAAAAACGGTAATTATACAACAATGCAATATTAATTATAAACAATGGTAAAATGTATAACAATAAAAATATTGAATATCAATGAATAACAAAGTAACTGTATAACAGTGCGCAGATGATTAAAAGTTTTGTAATGTAAATTAAGTTCTCTTAAAGAAGGTCTGTAAAGATGTCTGTCTGGAGCGAGGAGCACCAGGTTGCATCCTCAGATCACTGAGGAGAGATGAAACCTGCGCACGATCTGAGTAAGCAAGGCTGTACCTGAGGGTCAGCTGTTGGAAAAGTTCTTCTGCTGCTCTCAGAGTGTCGGGGATGGAGTAAAGAGGTGCTGGATCCACTGGTTCCTGTTTGATAGATTGAGGGGTGGGTGCAGTTGGCACCTCTTGGGAGGCAGTTGCGGTCTGCGTGGGAGCCGTTAGGTTCTCTTGGGAGGCAGTTGCGGTCTGTGTGGGAGCCGTTAGGTTCTCTTGGGAGGCAGTTGCGGTCTGTGTGGGAGCCGTTAGGTTCTCTTGGGAGGCAGTTGCGGTCTGTGTGGGAGCCGTTAGGTTCTTTTCGGCGGCTGAAGTAGTTTGCTGGGCATCTTCTGGTGACTCAGGTACTGACACAAGATCCTCCATTAGTTGGACTGGAGTGTTAGTAGGTTCTGAAACTATAACATCAGAGATATGCATAATGGCAGGTGTCAAGTTATCATCTGTTTGGAGGTATTCCGACGCTCTCCTCTTGATATTCCGAACTGTAGTGTCACTAATACTCCACTCTTCAGCAGTCCTACGAACGCTCACTCCGCTGTTTAACATCAGGACTACTTCACGTTTCTGGGAGGAGTTCAGTCGAGCACGGCTCTTCTTGGAGGGGGTCACGGATTCGCTGGAGGTAGAACTGGAACGTTTCATGATGAAAAGTGATAATTTTTAAACTCAGGAGGGGTTTTTATAGGAGTAAAGATAACAAGCATGTTATGTGAGCATCATGTTGAGACGTTGACATCAACATACCTTTCCTTATGGGGTGATTAGGGATGTGATCCGTAAGCCCGTAAGGTCAGATATGATGTGATCCTTATAACTAAAAGTTATGGGCAGAGGACATACATACAGGCGATGTGAACCAACAATGTGATGTGCTTAAAAGTGAGGCGTGATCCAATGTGGACTTATGTCAGATACGATTTGGTGCATTTTCTAAAGCAAGAGGAGGTGAGGCTAGCAGTGGAGGTGAGGCTAGCTAGTTGTTAAATGCTAACAGCTGTAGTCTGCACTTATCAATGAACCACGCATTGAAAATAAATTGAAATTTTTTGAAAATATAAAATAGACAGCATGTCTGAAATATAAAACGATCAGTATTAAGACTGTTCACTGATTAACATTGATTCAGCACGCAGTGGCTAAGAGGAGCTTGCATCTTTGATGTCCCATGAAGTCATTATAATACTTCTTTTTGTTATATTATTCTATAAAATCAAAAATAGAAAACATAACAGTACTCCGTAAAGCAATTAAAGTGCATAATATAACAATTCTTTGATGAGCTAAAACAAACACCTTCATAAGTGGAAACAAGTAATATAACTGCTGCAAAGAGCAGGTAACTCAATGTGGACGTTTTATCAAAATGATCATTATTAAATACCAGACAATTGCAATTCTAGAATGTCCGTTTTTAGAGTTAATACTTTGTACGTTATCATTCCAGATGTGATAGAAATCCATATGATAATTATACCTATTGAGATATTTATTGAGAGTTATTGAAACGATGTAACAGAGTCGATATATTTGAATGTAGCCATGGGATGGCAAGTCCCCAATCCCATACATCGTGGTTTGGTAGTTTCATTGCGTCTTAATATTAACGTGATCATTATGAAGAGGAAGATAATGTGTTCACTGAATTGCTTTTTTCATTGAAATGACGAAAAATGACAGACGATGGATTACATCCAAATTGCTCTTCTGAATTTGAAAATAGTGAAATTGGTGAAAAACTTTGGCAACAATTCATAAAAATGGTTAAATAATTACTGCTACCTCACAAATATAGAACAACAAATTCAGATTAAATCTGAATCCTTCACTCAAAAATTATTTTAACTTTTAAGCAAAACATTTGTTTGGTAATCGATATTACCTCAACAAAAAATTATTACAGAATTCATTATAAAAGTTGAACACAAACCTCCAGGTCATCTTCACTTTCAGGAGCTGGTCGAGTAAGAAAATCATTTCTTGGCATAACAACTTAACTGATCATGGAGTAGCCAACCTTGACAATATTTAAATTGTTATATAACAGAAAGTAGAGGAAGAGGGTTTCTAAATAAATGCCCTTGTAATTTAAACAGTACATTTTTGTGTAAGATTGATTACAAGGGGGGCAAATATGTCCTTGCAAATGATAATAATTGTATATTTTTATTATTTAATCTAAATTCTTGTATCAAATTTACTCCACACATGGAATACTGAAATTGATAGTACACCTTTAGATTAAAAAGGTGAAATAACATACACAAATGCAAAGGGATTTATTGAGAAAACTTTGATGTAACAAAATGCTTAAAATGAAATAAGTACTTGACGATTTTTGACAAAGCTGTACTTTATCCTCGACAATTTTTAGATGTCAAATGATCCTCAATTTAATTCTACTTATAAACATATTATATTGGACATTAGTTAATGAAAATAAAGTTTTAGATACTGTCACTATTAGTAATATTTTGAATATTGCATCATGTGTGCATGCAGGCCCAATGACCCTACAAATATTTATAAGCAGATTTTAATTGAAGATCATTTGACAGATACCATTTCTAGGGCATAAGACACAAATTCCTTTTACTATAATATGATCCTAGAAGGAAGAGAGGAATATATTTCAACAGGAAATTCATCAGACCTTCCACTGCAGATTAGGAGCCCTGATTGAGGTTAAATTATTTTGTAAAAATCATTATTTAGAGCTACACATATATCTTAACAATCAAAGAAGTAATATAAAATTATTCAAACAATATACACATAATATAGCAATGACCCTATATAAAATCAACCCTTTAAGAATTCAAAAAATTCCCTTAACAATCAAAAATTACCCTTGGCCTTGTGGCTCCAAGTTAAGATCTAGACTGTTTATATCAACAATGTTTTTTCTCGCACCTCTGTCTCCACGGAGAGATATCACTGTTGTTCTAAGGATTTCAAAGCGAAGGCGCTTTCTGATGTATCCTACAGCGTCTGAGTACCTCTGGCCAGTGTGGCACTCCATCTTACTGGCCAGTTTCTTGACCAGTCTCTCAGCTTCACCACCCATTCCACCAGAAGTCGAGAACACTAAAGGTGTGAAGCTTCCTTTCTCCACTTCAAGAACCCTTGCATTGTAACATCGCTTTTTCTCATTTTCATGGGACAGGTACATTGCTGGTATCGATTTGCTTGCATTGGAGGGGGCTGGGGCATGAAATACCCTTACATCAAAAAATGCCCTCTCTGAAGCATTCCAAATCGATCTTGCAGAAATGTCCAGCCTGGCTTGGTCTCCTAGGACTGTTCCCTTTGGTAATTCTAGACCATCAACTGGTAGAAGAACTGGCTCAGTCTGCACATCCTTGCATTTCACAGTTCTCATTAGTTCTGCAAAGGTGTCTCTCAGCGAGTTGTGCCGCAGTGACACATATCCACCAAGCTTGCAGATGAGCGCATGGTTTGCTGAGTATTTCTGGCCACACGTACATGTCTTAGGGCAGTCCTTTAAGTTCAGGTTGTATCTGAGAGCTATTGCATCTGAGAACTGTTGTTTATTCATCAGATATCCATACTCTTTTAAAGGTAGTGCTGTTAACCAAGCACTTGCCCCTTTCTCAGCCGCTAGTTGGAACATCAACTTTGCCAGTGGTGTTGACTCAAGCTCCTGGCATATTTCTGCTTGTTTTTGTTGATAGAAGAGATTTCGTTCAGTCGTTATCTCAGTTTTCACTTCTTTACTGTGTCTCCAGTCCTCTGTGTAGTTGTCTATCTGCTTGAGAATAGCTTCTTTAAGGGGTTTTGTGGCTTTACATGAGAAATTGTACTCTCGGTCTGCCATTTCCATCATAACTGGTATACCCAATCCTCCATATTTTGGTGGTAGAGCCATTATGTTCCTTAGTTCATCAGTGCAGCTAAACAGCCTGTTAATGATAGCTGGGATAAACTCATCACGTGTTACTTGTTCTAGAGGAGTGAACCTATCTGCAACTCCTGGGGTAGTTCTGCACACATAGTTCCATCTTTTACTAAGCCCATACATGTATGCACTGTATGCTATTTGAGGTTCTCTTGATGCTATATCGCTTAACTGTTTAAGATCACGACACCATTCTTGAACTTTTTCCTCAATGAAAGCCTCTTTTCCTTGGTCTGTTCCAATGAAGCTGCCCAGATATCGTCGACCAATGCTTGTCACATTGACATCTGGGAATAGGGTTCTTGCCTTCTCTTCGTGCTCAGGCTTGACTATCACCCATGTTTTAGAAGATTTAGGGTTGTATCCAAAGAGTGGTCCTTTAATACAGAGGTTATCCCACCACTTCCTTATTTCCTCCAGTTTTCCCCCAGCAGCAGAGTCATCAGCATACCAGATCTGAGTCACCTTTCTCTCAATGTTTCCTGCATCAATCAATGGTATTGTACCACAGGCATAAAATCCCATGGCAGGTGGATCACCTTGTGTGGTCCCTTCTTCACTAACCTCTTAACAATCAAATACTCTTTTAAACTAATTACAACACTACAAATCTATTACATTTATTGAGGTATGACCAAAGTAATACGAATGTAATACGAATGTAACGTTAATGGAATGGAACAAATCTCACATGTGAACTCTTCAATTTGCTTCAATTCAAATCAACAACTTAATTCAAATCATCAACTCAATATCATGGACGATTCAATGGAAACATTTTTTGGAAAACTATTGTCGGAATGTGATCAAAAATGCAAAAACTGTACTGCACTCAAATCTCATGTCAAGTTTCTCGAGCGGAAAGTGATCATCCTAGAAGACATTGTTCAAACTTCTCAGACTATAGCAGAGATTAATGGTACGTTGTTACATCAAAGTACCAATCAGTCAATAGATTATCGGGCTGTCCTGGATAGGTGTTCAGATGTTGCAGTTCAGACAGAATTTGAAAACGATCAGATTGAATATGACAGTGAATGCGAGGTGCCTGAATCTTTCATGCTAATCAATAGTGATGGCATCATTGAAGCACCAGATTCTATCATTTCCAACAACACAGAAAATCAAATCAGTGGGAGTACAGGATCTGTCAATCCATGGAGTGGCAAGTATTATGCTGAAATAGATGTAACACCCATATCTAGTGTGGCCTTAAGTGTAAATGACGAAAGCCCTGACATTATCATACCACCTGTTGAACTCATTGATCAGCACCGTTTCAAAAATTCTCCTTAGACATCTTCCTGAGAGAATTGGATTTTAGCCACCAGTTTCAAAATAGGAAAACAGCTTACTTTGGGGACTTCCCATATGTGTATAATGGGGGAAGTCACGAGGCGAAGGAGATACCACATCAGTCCTATCTGGCTGCTATCTGTTCATATCTTGAAGTGTTACTCCCGGATTATGTTTACAACAGTGCTCTCGTAAACTACTACAGTACTGGGACAGAATGCATGCCTATCCATAGTGATAATGAAGAATGCATCGATGAAAACTCTTATATTGTTACAGTTTCTCTGGGTGCCTCTAGGACGATGCAGTTCACAGAAATTCAAACAGGAAAAGTGGTGTCTGCCCTAGATCTAAAGCATGGGGATGTTTGTATCATGTCTAAAAAATCCCAGCTTCATTACAGACATGAAATCTGTACTCAACCATCTTGTACAAACAAAAGGATCAGTATCACATTCAGACTGATCAAACCTGTAGCTGTTGTCCAAAGATTAACAAGTACACCAACCAACATGTGCAATGACAATTACCATGACCCATATGAAAACATCTCCAACTCCAGCGGCTATGTACCTTATCAAGAAGACGAGTTTATAGTTCATCCATCAAGGAAAACGAATGGTGCTTATCAGCACCGACCTCTAACCCCACCCTATACATCTCCACCACCCCATCTGCATCAATCAGGGCGGCATGTTAACAGACAACAATTGTTCGAAAAGGAGACACCCAACGATGTGAGCACAGTTTATATCAGCAGCAGCATCTTCAGGCATCTGAATGAAAAACTGTTGAGCTCTTCATCTCAGAAGGCCAAAGTATTTTTCTACCCAGGGGCCAACTCAATCCAAATGTCCCAAAGACTCTTTAGCGACAGTCAGTTCAAAGTTCTCAACAAAGAAAAGGTTAAAAAGGTTGTTTTACTAACTGGTACTAACTGTGTTGATCCAATTGACCTCAACACAATGAACTTCAACAGTGCCACCAATGACATGGAAGAATTTGTTCAAAAATTGTGGGCAGAATTTAATAGTGCAAAAATATATATCTTAAATATTCTGCCTAGAGCTGTCACTAGTAAGAACATTATAGTGCAGGGACTTAATCGATACTTAGAGAATATGTGTTATAAGCATGGGCTCATATACATTAACACAGAACATGAAAATAATCTCTTTACTTTAAATTATAATAGAAAGGACAAGTATTTTGGCAGGGGCCATGACAATGTGCACCTTAATAAGTTAGGAATTGCCAGGCTTGGTAAGCATCTCAAATATGTAACTCACTTGTGTTAAACTTCATTAAAATTCTATAATCCAAGGGTATCAACATGAATAATAACAGGATTACTGTTTTATCTGGTTTAAAATGTTAGATCAGCACAAATTTCTAATAACTTAACGTTTTTATATCTCTCAAGCTATATTTATCACAAACAGAAGTGAGTTACTATTTTATGCTGTTAAATTTTATGATTTAAACTGCAGTATGATTGCTGATCCGAAATCCAATTTAAATCATATGTATGACACGATTTGAAACTTAGTCTACTTGAGGAGACTGCATGTGGATTTGTTCCCCATTAGCTTTGGTTTAACCTTATTCGTACCTCAATAAACGATAATCTCTCTCTTGGTCTATGTAATATACAGGGTGGCCTGACTAATCTGGCAAAAACTCTCGAACTACAGGAGCTAATATTTCGCGAAAAGCTTGACATAATTGGAATTAATGAGACAAACCTTAAATCTGATATAGACACTAGTACACTTAACTTCCCCTTAAACTTTGATTTTATAAGGTGTGATAGACCTAACGATAGAGGAA